GAGTGTTAGTCTTGGTGTGTGTTTGTTGAGTCTTGGTGTGTGTTTGTTGGAGTGTTGAGTCGTGGTGTGTGTTTGTTGAGTGTTGAGTCTTGGTGTGTGTTTGTTGATGTTGAGTCTTGGTGTGTGTTTGTTGAGTGTTGGAGTCTTGGTGCTGTGTTTGTTGGGTGTTGAGTCTTGGTGTGTGTTTGTTGAGTGTTGAGTCTTGGTGTGTGTTTTATTTGAGTGTTGGGTGTGTGTTTGTTGAGTGTTGAGTCTTGGTGTGTGTTTGTTGGTGTTGAGTCTTAGTGTGTGTTTGTTGAATGTTGGAGTCTGGTGTGTGTTTGTTGAGTGTTGAGTCTTGGTGTGTGTTTGTTGAGTGTTGAGTCTTGGTGTGTGTTTGTTGAGTGTTGAGTCCTGGTGTGTGTTTGTTAGTGTTGAGTCTTGGTGTGTGTTTGTTGGAGTGTTGAATCTTGGTGTGTGTTTGTTGGAGTGTTGAGTCCTGGTGTGTGTTTGTTGAGTCTTGGTGTGTGTTTGTTGGAGTCTTGGTGTGTGTTTATTTGGTGGTGAGTCGTGGTGTGTGTTGTTGGGTGTTGAGTCTTGGTGTGTGTTGTTGAGTGTTGGAGTCTTGGTGTGTGTTTGTTGGTCTTGGGTGTGTGTTTGTTGGAGTGTTGGAGTCGTGGTGTGTGTTTGTTGAGTGTTGAGTCTTGGTGTGTGTTGTTGAGTGTTGAGTCTTGGTGTGTGTTTGTTGATGTTGAGTCTTGGTGTGTGTTTGAGTGTTGGTGTGTGTTTGTTGGTGTTGAGTCTTGGTGTGTGTTTGTTGAGTGTTGAGTCTTCTTGGTGTGTGTTTGTTGAGTGTTGAGTCTTGGTGTGTGTTTGTTGCAGGTGTTGGAGTCTTGGAGTGTGTGTTTGTTGAATGTTGGAGTCCTGGTGTGTGTTTGTTTAGTGTTGAGTCTTGGTGTGTGTTTGTTGAGTGTTGAGTCTTGGTGTGTGTTTGTTGAGTGTTGGAGTCTAGTGTGTGTTTATTTGGAGTGTTGAGTCTTAGTGTGTGTTTTGTTGAGTGTTGGAATCTTGATTGTGTGTTTGTTGAGTGTTGAGTCCTGGTGTGTTTGTTAGTGTTGAGTCTTGGTGTGTGTTTGTTGGAGTGTTCAGATCTTGGTGTGTGTTTGTTGGGTGTTGGAGTCTGGTGTGTGTTTGTTGAGTCCTGGTGTGTGTTTGTTGAGTGTTGAGTCTTGGTGTGTGTTTGTTGGAGTCTGGTGTGTGTTTTGTTGAGTGTTGAGTCCTGGTGTGTTTGTTGGTGTTGAGTCTTGGTGTGTGTTTGTTGAGTGTTAGATCACCCTATTGTGTTTGTTGAGTGTTAGTCCTGGTGTGTGTTTGTTGAGTGTTGAGTCCTGGTGTGTGTTTGTTGAGTGTTGGTCTTGGTGTGTGTTTGTTGAGTGTTGGAGTCTTGGTGTGTGTTTTATTTAGTGTTGAGTCCTGGTGTGTGTTTGTTGAGTGTTGGAGTCCTGGTGTGTGTTTGTTGAGTGTTGAGTCTTGGTGTGTGTTTGTTGAGTGTTGAGTCTTGGTGTGTGTTTGTTGAGTGTGAGTCTTGGTGTGTGTTTATTTAGTGTTTGAGTCCTGGTGTGTGTTTGTTGAGTGTTGAGTCTTGGTGTGTGTTTGTTGAGTGTTAGTCTTGGTGTGTGTTTGTTGAGTGTTGAGTCTTGGTGTGTTTGTTGAGTGTTGAGTCCTGGTGTGTGTTGTTGAGTGTTGAGTCTTGGTGTGTGTTTGTTGGTGTTGGAGTCGTGGTATGACTGTTGGTGTTGGAGTCCTGGTGTGTGTTTGTTGAGTGTTAGTCTTGGTGTGTGTTTGTTGAATGTTGAGTCTTGGTGTGTGTTTGTTAGTGTTGGGTCCTGGTGTGTATTTTGTTGGTGTTGAGTCTTGGTGTGTGTTGAGTGTTGAGTCTGGTGTGTGTTTGTTGGAGTGTTTGAGTCCTGGTGTGTTTGTTGAGTGTTAGTCTTGGTGTGTGTTTGTTGAGTGTTAGTCTTGGTGTGTGTTTGTTGAGTGTGGAGTCCTGGTGTGTGTTTGTTGAGTGTTAGTCTTGGTGTGTGTTTGTTGAGTGTTGAGTCTTGGTGTGTGTTTGTTGGAGTGTTGGTCATGGTGTGTGTTTGTTGAATGTTGAGTCCTGGTGTGTGTTGTTGGTGTTGAGTCTTGGTGTGTGCTTGTTGAGTGTTGAGTCGTGGTGTGTGTTTGTTGAGTGTTGGAGTCTTGGTGTGTGTTTGTTAGTGTTGAGTCTTGGTGTGTGTTTGTTGAGTGTTGGAGTCTTGGTGTGTGTTTGTTGAGTGTTGAGTCTTGGTGTGTGTTTGTTGAGTGTTGAGTCTTGGTGTGTGTTTGTTGAGTGTTGAGTCGTGGTGTGTGTTTGTTGAGTGTTGAGTCGTGGTGTGTGTTTGTTGAGTGTTGAGTCTTGGTGTGTGTTTGTTGAGTGTTGAGAATCTTGGTGTGTGTTTGTTGAGTGTTGAGTCCTGGTATTGTTTGTTGAGTGTTGAGTCGTAGTGTGTGTTTTTGTTGAGTGTTGAGTCGTGGTGTGTGTTTGGTTGAGTGTTGAGTCTTGGTGTGTGTTTTGTTGAGTGTTGGAGTCTTGGTGTGTGTTTGTTGAGTGTTGAGTCCTGGTGTGTGTTTGTTGAGTGTTGGTCTTGGTGTGTGTTTGTTGAGTGTTGGAGTCCTGGAGTATGGCATGTTTATTTGAGTGTTGCGGGTCTTGGTGTGTGTTTGTTGAGTGCGGAGTCTTGGTGTGTATTTGTTGAGTCTTGAATTGTGTTTGTTGGAGTGTTGGATCTGGTGTGTGTTTGTTGAGTGTTGAGTCGTGGTGTGTGTTTGTTGGTGTTTAGTCTTGGTGTGTGTTTGTTAGTGTTGAGTCTTGGTGTGTGTTTGTTGGTGTTGAGTCGTGGTGTGTTTGTTAGTGTTGAGTCCTGGTATTGCGTTTGTTGAATCTTGGAGTCCCCTGGTGTATGTTTGTTGAGTGTTGAGTCTTGGTGTGTGTTTGTTGAGTGTTGAGTCTTGGTGTGTGTTTGTTTGAGTGTTTGAGTCTGGTGTGTGTGTTTTGTTGGTGGAGTCCTGGTGTATTGTTTGTTGGTGTTTGAGTCCTGGTGTGTGTTTGTTGAGTGTTGGAGTCCTGGTGTGTGTTTGTTGGTGTTGAGTCCTGGTGTGTGTTTGTTGGAGTCTTGGTGTGTGTTTGTTGGAGTCTTGGTGTGTGTGTGTTTGTTGAGTCTTGGTGTGTGTTTGTTGAGTCTTGGTGTGTTTGTTGGAGTGTTGGAGTCCTGGTGTGTGTTTGTTGAGTCTTGGTGTGTGTTTGTTGGGTGTTGGAGTCTAGTGTGTTTGTTGGAGTCTTGGTGTGTGTTTGTTGAGTGTGTTTAGCCCTAGGTGTGTTAGTTGAGCCCAGTGTGCGTTTTGTTTGATTGTTGAGTCTTGGTGTGTGTTTGTTGGGTGTTGTGCCCTGGCGTGTGTTTGTTGAGTGTTGAGCCCTGGTGTGTTTGTTGAGTGTTGAGTCTTGGTGTGTGTTTGTTGGGTGTTGCTTGCCTGGTGTGCTGTTGTTGGAGTGTTGAGCCCTGAATTAGCTGTTGTTTGTTGAGTGTTGAGCCCTGATGTGTTTTTGTTGAGTGTGTTAAGCCCTGTGTGTGTGTTTGTTGAGTGTTGTGCCCTGGTGTGTGTTTGTTGAGTGTGTTGACATGTAACTTACAACATTAACTTGTTTTTGTTGTGTATAATGTTTGATTTATATTCTGAGGACTAACTACGAATATATAAATAATGCGATGTTTGATACATCCCTAATTTTCAGTGCACACTTGTTTTCAGAAAATGGCAGTACGCAGAATGTTTTATTTCACTCTTGTGGTCTTGATAATTCTTCTCGTATTTGTCGTTCACAAACGTAAGTATTCACAGTACACTTTATATCTAATTTAGTACTATTTACTGCAAAGGATAAATTTGTATTTTTTTATATAATTAGTTTCTATTGTTTTTGTTTTTTACATAGTTTAGTATACTTTGTTGAAAAAGTTGAGTTATGAATTCGGGAGTCTCAGAGTTCATTGCATCAATAAATTTTTCTTTATAAAAGTGAGTCCGTTAGATGCTCTTAGGGGATAATAGTTTACATTTGAATTTACTGAGAATTCGATTTAACCTTACAGTAGTTAGGCTATGACCCTGAAAGACTTGAGTCAGGGTACATGTCTTAGATTGTTAATAAAATAAATGGACTTTGTCACTGGTTTTAGACTTCTTTTGGGACACCGCATACAATAAGTACGGTTGTTCACGAATAATAAGGTATATTAAGTGTTGATTGTGGCAGTCATGTCTGTCTATCAGTAATTATTGTGCATATGTTTTCTTTCTTTTCATCTCATTCAAGAGAAGGAGCTAACATGAATATGTTTTGACTCAGAAGGAAAAACTTACTGTATATATATATATATATATATATATATATATATATATATATATATATATATATATATATATATATATATATATATATATATATATATACATATATATAATCCTGTACTTTATATCAACAAAAACAGTGCAGTACAGTTGTTCACATTGTTGTACCCAAAGGCATTTTGTCTTATTAATTCTCCTCCTTTAGTTGAAAATCTTTCTTCCCTTTCTCTTCGCATCAATGTTGCCTCACTCTCTTTTACAGGAACTTTAACGGGCAATGTTCAGTGGATTTGGCATCCTGTGTACCGCCGGCAAGGCAGTGGGCTCGTAACACAAGTTTTGTCCACGTTGCCCACCGTTTCTCTGTGGATGTCGGTCACACTAGAATAACCTGTTATAGTGCATCCTTCTTTCTTCACACAGCCAAACTGTGGAATGCTCTGCCTTCTTCTGTGTTTCCATACTCATGCGATGTCTCATTTTAAAAAGCGATTTTCCAGCATCTTTGCGGTGTAGATTAATATACAGTCGGCCCTTAACATACGCGGGTTTATAATACACGGATTTGCAAATACGCGGATTGCCCCGCCGGAGGAATATTCTGTACATTGAAGTAATTGAATTACATTCAAATCGCGCGCCATTCAACTCGCGCGCGGCACGGAACACGGGACACCACCCACTCCCGCAACCTCACACACAACGCATAGCTCTCCCTCACTCAGTCAGTCTCGTTGTAACCACGCTTGTGTTGACATCAGCATTGTAGTTACAAATATTACATTTCCGTGAATGCATTATATCAAGCACAGTATGAATAGAGTACCATTGTAATATAACAGTATTTTAACCAAAAACTATTAAAAAAACGAGTAACTTCTCTTGAACATCGGAAGGTTAAGTAAAGTCTTTTGTTTTCGTCATGTATTTTATCTATTTTACATTGAAATACATAACGTTTCAACAAAACTACTATTTATTTCTGAGAATATATTCATTCAGAGCTTAGGTAAAATATACATGTGCTGTAACATTTTTTTAATTGAAAACGATTCGAAAACACTTACCCTCTAGCCCTGTTCAAGGAGAAGACTGGGAAGAGCTGTTTGGTGCTTAAGACGATGACAAGGAAAATGATTTTGATGGATTTTAATGAAAATATTCAGAAAGACCCTGGCACTGTCAAGGAAAGTGTGTCTTGAAGGCTTCCGGGACATGGCAGAGGACGAGATTAGGGAGCTAATTGAAGAGCACGACACAGAGCTGACCGGGAGGATCTACGGGTGGTGAGCTCAGGCAAGGAAAGGAAGGGAAGCGAAAGGGAAGAGGATGAGGAAGAGCACCAGAAATAACGTTGGAGAAGTTGGAGATGACCAGGAATATTGAGGCACTGAAAACTTGGCCTATAGTATGGACCCCTCCATGGTGCGTGCCCAAATTCATGCGAGGATGGATGACGTTTCGCTCCATACAAAACATCATGGAAGAAATGAAAGAAAGAGACGACAACTCCCCATCACCATATTCTTTGATCACCGAAGAAGAGATTTAACACCATCAATCACTGGCGGCAGTGAGGAAGCAGCTGAATCCACCGTCGCCCCCACTTCACCACCCGTTATGGAATTGGTGACGATGAGCCCGATGACACCCGTCCTGTCGCCGAGGATAGGTACTGTACAGTAAAGTGAAATTGTTATCTCTTTTTTTAATAGCTTAGTGGATTTCTCCTACAAGCTGTTTGTCGCCGAGTAGCCGACCCACCAATTCCCAGTGTATGCCTCGTGGTCTAGGTCAACCAGCGCCGCCCATCACAGAGGCGGGGTCAACTACTAAGCCACGCCCCCCGCTATTTAAGACCTGACCTCTTGGTGACCTGTCTCTTTCCACCTACAGCCGCAGCCAGCAACACCTCCTCCGCCGCTGCCTGGCAGCCCTCGCTCCTCCTCCGCCTGCCTGGCGGTCCTCGCTCCCGCCGGCGAGCATGGCGACCCTGGCTGTCCTTCTCTGAGCATCCTCACCAACCAGCTCTCTCACATCACGCTTGTAACCATGCTGCCTTCCCAGCACCAAGCTGCATTGTACATCCAATACAACATGTATATAGCATTGTGAGTTTCCTTTCTCCAACCCATCCTGAGTGAACACCAAACATTTTGAACCCCAAGCTTTTCTTGCCATGTTTAATGTTTGTAAAATGCACAGTTCAGTACTGTACATAGGAAGTGGAGGTGCAGTTATTCACAAAACATTTGTGTTCGTTGTCGGCAGTAGTAACGGTGAGGAGGTGGAGGAGGGAGCGGAGTTGGGAGGTGGTGACCTTGGACGCCTAGCCCACCTGAATAGTCTTCAATTAGAATATGACTCCATTGTATGTGATCCACTGACCTATATGCTGCTGGTGAATGTGATGTATTTCCTTCTTTGTGTACGAACCTCTGTCCTGCGTGGCAGTGAACAGTGGCATTACCCACATGAATCTGACCTATAGTGTCAATGAATATGATGCATTCTTTGTGTACGAACCTCTGTCCTGTATGGCAGTGGAAAGTGACATTACCCACATGAATCTGACCAACGTATATGTATGTATGTGTGCGTGTGTGCATGTATATGTGCATGTACGTGTATGTGTATGTATATACATATATGTATGTATATGTGTGTGTGTGTGTGTGTTTACATATATGTATATGTACTGTCAATGAATATGATGCAACTCTTTGTGTACGAGCCTCTGTCCTGCATGGCAGTGAACAGTGACATTACCCATATGAATCTGACCTATATACATTTATAGTTGTTATTGAATATGATGTATTTCTTTGTGTGTGAACCTTCCTCGCGTGACAGTGAGAAGTGATACCACCCTCAGTGTCAAGACCTGACTGAATTACTCAGAATAGGCAAACTGTACTACAAGCTCTGCCAATAAATTTGTTAACAACAACAGGAGCAGGGACGAGTGGAGATGCCAGCCAGTACATTACGGGTGTATTAATTGTTTTTATAGCTATTTTTGCATTTTAATATTAAATATTGTACATTACGTTTCAACAAAACTACCATTTATTTCTGAGAACATGGTAATGTAATATTTTTGCTGAAATGATGTACGTATTACAGTGGAAAGTGGGATAAAATTGTGACAGCAATGACTTTCTCTTTCTTTCTTCAAAAGATGTTACCGTAATCGCTTTTCGAATGGTTTTCAGTTGTGGGATAAAAAGGCTAATGATAGGATAGAATATTATTGTAATACAGTACAGAGTACAACAGTTTTTAACTGAAAACCATTCGAAAAGCAATTTCGTAAAATCTTTTGAATAACGAAAGCGAAAGTCATTGTTTTCGTCATGATTTCACTAAGTCATTCAGCAAAATATATTTCTATTTATTTCTGAGAATACCTATATTCATTCAGTCACAGTTAAGGTAAAATATACTTGTGATGTAATATTTTAACGAAAATACGGTATCGTAGTTTTCTTTTGTTTCAAATTTAATTAACAAGATTGATGTTTCAAATGTAATGAACAAAATTTATGTACAGTATCTATAAATAAACTTTAATAAATGAATACTGTACTTTGTTTTACATCGTCCTGTGCTACCATACCATGGATTTGGCTACTTTGGGCTTGCTATGATGACGCAAAGAGATCTGCCTGGCAACTGTACCGACACTCACACTGGTGGTGCGTTGGTGCATCGTTTCCATTGTTTACTGGTAGTTACTGGTAAATATTTTTCAACCTAACGAAACTATTACCCGTTTAGAGGTCGTCCCCAATTTTTGCCAAATAATTTGGTCTTAAAACTTGAACTACACACATGTATATACTGTAAATAAGGGCATGGGGACCAGGTTTTTTTTGGGGGGCAGCACATATGCGGATTTTAACATCCACTGGTATCTCCGTTCGTAACCGGGCATGTTAAGGCCGACTGTAACCTTATTCCTTTCTAGTTTAATTTTGTTCTATTCTTATTTTTCGCCCCCTCGGCCCCATTGTGGGTCGTTCGACTTATCTTCGGTGGTGGGCTAATTCCGTAAAAAAATAAAAAAACATATTTTTACACTTTCGTAACTTTATATTTTTGTCACGTTTCAGAAGAAATATGAATTTATATTTTTGTGTCACATATCAGCAAATGTGAGACATAGTTTAGTTCTATATCAACAAAAGCTTTGCATTTCAGTACTATTGTCTCCTATCAACAAGAACTTTGTTTTGTAACATCAAAAGATTTGCAAGCCTACACTTATAATTCTTTAAATTCTTTAAAAAATTTAAAATATTTTCCTATATCACCAACGGTCACATTTTCTTAGTTTTAAGAATTTGAAATTTATAAAGATTTGACGAATCGCCTCTCTACATTTGTTTCCAGTCATCCATTCCTGTTCCTTCTAACCTATCTACTGACTGCCCTTCCTTCTACAACTTTCACATCGATTCTTCTTCTATCCTATTTCTCTGCCTTTTCAATTACTATCTCTTTTTTTCCATTTCCTTCCCACATATATCCCATCTCTTATTTCCTTCACCCCCTTCCTAAAAACTTCAAATTCCACCTTCTTTTACTCCGCCACCTCTCCTTCCATATGGTCCTCTACTTTTTATCCGTTTCCTCTCCCTTCTATTCTCCCTCCCTCTACAGCTGTGAATGGCATCAGCTGCTACGTGTGTTCTTCCAAGAATGGAAGTGACATCAACTGTGAGGACCCTTTCCACCCTGCGCTCTCCACCTATGCTGAGAACTGCCAGGTACCCAAGGAGCGTCACATCGGCCAGTTTCCCGCTAACTTCTGCGTCAAGATCATCGGCACTTCCGGCAAGTGACAACAATGTGAACATAACTTTGTTAATAGATAGATAGATAGATAGATAAAGACGCAAGTGACCACCATAACATGACTTTCTACACTTTGTGTGTAAGTGTTAACGCTAAGCTTGCTTCCTGTCGTTGTTAAGGCATCTTTAGGGGATATAAACGAACAGGATTGCTAGTTTAAAATACTACAGTACCAAGATTTTATGGCACTTGTTAATTATTAATATTAGTGTTTTAGTTGTGAAGGCATGTAAGAGATTTACTCCTTGGCACAAACAATATTATGTGACTCAAATTATTTTATTTAATACTTAGGATAACATAAGGCATGTAAGAGATTTACTCCTTGGCACAAACAATATTATGTGACTCAAATTATTTTATTTAATACTTAGGATAACATAACATAGATACAGGAGATATATATTCAGTAAATAGCCAGACAAGTGGAAGCGTATAAACTGGTAAATATTAATTATGTCGATGCAACACACAGTAGAGGAATGTGTAAACCGATATTATTGTATAAAGGAGTGTTTACAGTATGTCATGGTCCAAAAGTTACTAACATGTATATCTTTCCACCATTCCTCAGCTGCCAGGGGAGAGTCACTCATGATCAGGACTTGTGTGCTAGAGAACATGGACTCCCAGTGTGGTGTCTTCAAGTTTGGTGGTGAACAACTGACGGGATGTATACTGACGTGCAAACATGACGGTTGTAACCCAGCACCTCACTCATCCCTGCCCTTCTTGCCCATCTTTCCTCTAGTCGCCTCCTTCGTCTTGGTGTTGCGTTGATCATCCTCTCTCTCTCGTTGATTCTTGATTTTATTATCTGTGTTGATCGTTCCCCCTCCCTTCTCTCTTTCTGTCTCGCCTTCTCGTTGCCTATATTCTTCACCTGGGTTGATCATTCTAATGTCCTCATTATCTCATTTTGTGTTATCCGCCCTGCACTGCATCTATCATCCGTGTTGATGGACAGTGTATATTTTGTCCTAATAGACATACTACTAGGGTATCGTATATTGTTACAATTTTAAACCCACCAATTGACCCGATGTTCCGGCTTCTGCGATCTCTTGGACTGTGGCCACTTATGTTAATAATTTCTCATATTAAAGTTGTATGGACTTTTTCTGATCATTTTTCTTTTATCTCTGACAAAATATACTCATAGCGTCTCAGCTTAACAATTTAATGTAACATATTCGAGTAAATTTTCACGTTACATTTCATCATGATGTTTTACAGCAATTAATGGTTAATATATATAAATTTGATATTCTTAAATAGATGCCAGTCTTGTTAATACATTTTATAAAGTTAATGATTACCCTCAACGGAGATATGATAAGAAAGTAAAAAAAAAATAACGAAGAATTTTTTTTTCTCGGTCTGATTGGTAAGCGCAACTTGAGACTCAATATTGTGCCCTGCTGGTCACACACACACACACACACACACACACACACACACACACACTTGAAGCACAGGTTGTTACGACTCCCCTGACGTATACGGGAGCTAACTTTGCACTGTGTTCCATATACACACCATGGCACTACATCTGGTATCCACCCAACTAATACTTGACCAAAGACGAGCGTTAACTATGCCAGTAATATTACAATTGCTAGTTTATTTCCACCATCCACATCACCCCACAGCCTGCTGACCTCACCATTACTTCCTCATCAGATCAAACCACAACCCACCATCACAACCCACCACCACCACCATCACTCACCACCACCACCACCATCACTCACCACCACCACAACCCACTACCACCACCACCATTACTATCGCCACAACCCACCATCACTCACCACCACCACAACCCACCACCACCACCACCATCACTCACCACCACCACCACCATCACTCACCACCACCACAACCCACTACCACCACCACCATTACTATCGCCACAACCCACCATCACTCACCACCACCATTACAACCCTACTACTACTACTACTACTACTTTGTTGTTACTCGGAATCGAGTATGACGATCATCCAGCTATAATACAATGGTATGAGTTATTAGGGATGTCACCTTCATTGGTGAGTTTGAGGTGACTAAAAAGGCCGATACAGGACCGGCACAGTCGTTCACAGATGTTGCATGTGCGGGAGGGGCGGCGGCAACGTCTTTCCGGCGTTGGCGCTTGTCTGCTTCGGTTTGCAGTCGGGTTAACTGGAAAGTATTGACACCTTCTCGTGTTGTGCTCCTCCAAGCGTTACTATGTGGAGTAATCGTCTCCCGTGTGAGGGGATCAATTTGGCACCTTTTCAGGTTTGTCTTAAGACTATCCTTATACCTTTTCAGTTGCCCGCCAGCGTTACGTTTACTCTTCGTGTGACTGTAAAGTTGCTGCTCCATGCGGGTAACATGGCCAGTCCAGAGAAGTTGTTCAAGGATAATTGTAGCCTCGATGCTCCTACAGTTGGTGTCAGCAAGAATACTGGCATTTGTTCTCTTGTCTTCCCAGCGAACTTGGAGGATGGAACGTAGACTACGTTGGTGAAAGTTTTTAAGTGCCTTGAGGTGCCTCCTGTATGTGACCCATGTCTCGTTGCCATATAGCAGGGTGGGGAGGACCACTGCTCGATATACGTGTAACTTTGTAGATAATTTCAGCTCCCTACAGCTGGAGACACGGTTTCTGCCAAAGGCTTGAAATGCACATCTTATTCTATGCTGAATCTCTTCATCGATGTCCGCGGTGGTGGACAGGTGGGAGCCGAGATACCGAAAGTGGGTAACATTAGAGAGGGTAGTACCGTTAAGCTGGATGGAAGGTGGAGATGTATCTGAACCAGGGGCAGGTGTTCAGGATCGCCTGTAGGTCGCGTTCACTGTGAGCGACATGGGTGAGGTCGTCTGCATACTGAAGTTCAGTATTGGAAGCTGCCGACATCTTTGTTCCTGCCTGGAGTCGTCTTATATTGAAAAGACCTTTCATCCGGTACACGATGTCCACCTCGCCGGCTAAATTGGCACTGGCACGAATAAGGAATGCAGCCAAGAAAATGGAAAAGAGAGTTGGTGCCAGTACAACCCACCACCACAAACCACCACCACCACAAACCATCAATACCCACCACCACCGCCACCCATCATTACCACCACCTCCACAATCCACCATCAATCACCACATCACAAACCACCACCACCACAAACCACCACCACCACCATTACAACCCATCAACGCAACCCTTCATCCCCACCACCATCACAACCCACCATCACTTCCACAACCCACCACTATAACCAACCACCACCACAACCTACCAACACCCCAACCCACCACCACCACAACTCACCACCACCTTCATCACAATCCACTACTACCAATACAACCCACCTCCACCACAACCCAACCACCACCACAACCCAACCACCACCACAACCCAACCACCACCACCAATAAGAGACCTGCCGTAGATAGAGTTCAGCCAACTGGGCGCCATGCTTTTACTGAGGGGGTGGGGAATCTTCTCGGGCTCTCTCCTACATAGTTTATAAACATGCTTATCCAATCGTAAACATGTATGACAATTTTAATGAATAAACATCAACATCATCATCATCATCATCATCATCATCATCATCATCATCATCATCATTATCTACCCTACGAGCGTAACGTCTTCATGAGCCGAGTAACATGGCGCCCGCAAGTCACCGAGTTGACTGAACTCTCCATTTACGGCTCCGGACACACCAGCGTTGTAGCGCCCTGTGTAGGACCTGAATTACTCTCGTAAGACTAATACAGTTGTTCATTCTGAAACTCCTTGCTCGGTGTCGTCACAACACTGGCAGATTGTTTCAAGAATTTATAATTATCACTCCCAAAAAGTTTGCCCTGACAGGTTTCGGAACTTGTGACTTCTTCAACCATGAGCTGTGACCTCTACTTTGTTATTTATATTAGTTATTACTCATTATCTACACCGTAAAACATAAAAGATTCCATGAGGACCAAGATGTTGTATTCTTACAGGACATTATTATTATTATTATTATTATTATTATTATTATTATTATTATTATTATTATTATTATTATTATTATTGTTGTTGTTGTTGTTGGTGTTGTTGTTATTATTATTATTATTATTATTATTATTATTATTATTATTATTATTATTATTATTATTATTATTATTATCAGAGTCCAAGTGAAATTTTGTAAACTGAAAAACATTATGGTGATAATAACTAAAATAAATATAGTGTATCAGTAAAATAGATTAGTGCATTAGTGTGTGATGGCTTCGTTATCCCCACGGGAGCTGATGGGGTTAGGAGCGGTTTATAGACATAACCAAGAATAATGTACTGTAATAACCATATTGTAATGTGTACATGTATTAGGACATCAACAATAATACTGTACTACATAATAACAATACAGTGTAAAATGTACATATATGTGTGTAAAGACATCAACACCAATTGTAATATAGTGCAGTCAGCTGGAATAAATGAATGACGTCACAATGCAAGAAATAATGACGTTGGTTCATTGACCTGATTATTGTTGTATTTACTATGTCTTAGCCAGGGTTCTTATAAACAAACTCTACGTTATGATAATTCTTACGATTTTATTGCCTGTGTGAGAAGTTAGACCTTTATTTCAAGAGGGAAAAAAAATGTAAATGTACATTCATTTTTGTCACTAATATATTTCCTAACCATGTTAAGATAATTCTTTGTAAATGACTTATCTCCGGGATCAAGCTCGTTATAATAACCAGGCACCTGTCAAGTCTGCTTCCTTGTGACCTAGAGCAGTCTCATGCAGCTCCCGGAGATCGCTTCCCACTACCACCTTTAATAATCGCTTCTACTGTAACTTGGCGTTATTTTAAACAGCCTTTTTTTTACTTACACATTACAGAGTATACAGTAAGCTGTATACACATAGTTTACAGTATGCTGTATAAAAACACTTATCGGAATGGAATACTTTGCTATGGTGGTTATTGTAATGATTCCACCAATTATACCTATAAGTTTAAGTCAGTTGTACTAACCTTGGTCAAATAAGAGATTGAAATAATATTTGTGAATAAATGTATATGTCAACCATGGGTAACGATTCGGTAGAGTTAATAGTTTGAAATTCCACCCCCCCCCAAAAAAAAAAAATTCTTTTGTTTTTGTTGGTAATTTCTTATTATGTCTGCCGATTTTTTACCGAAATCAGTTCTCTTTTAACCTCTCAAAGACGTGTACATTATCTCCAAAGTCCAAATAGACTGGAGAGGAGAGAACACTTACTTATGGTAGATTTTCTCTATAATGTTACACCGTTTTGGTCCTTCTCTATGACTGAAATAAAAAAGTCTCTAATCTGTAAAAGAAAACGTGAAATTGACAAGCTTCTAAGAATCCAGGTCATGAACTCAGTTTATTGATGTAGGTTCTAGAAAATATGAACCAGCCTTCATATTCTCAATATACACGTAGAATAAGGAGCCTGCAATATACCTGAATAGTATCAAAATTACACTGTTATAACCCTTACTACATATTGTACATACTGTACGGAATCCTTCCAAAGATCCTGTATGGTAATTTTGTCCCTTTAACTGGTACTACAATATAATGCAGATGAGGTAGTCTCGGTGCAACATTGTTGCTATTTTTGGCCAATAGTTTTGCGCTTTAGCTTAAACGTGCCACTTAGATATACTGTACTTCTTACACCTTCGCTTACTAGAAATATTCATTGTACGAACCTTTAAGTCTGTGTATAGCTGTTCTCGGCCCGTAAAAAGTTTGT